CCACGACACAATTTGGAAAAATATCAGAGAAAGTAAGCAATGGATGTGCGATAACGATATAGTGCTTACAAGAGCTGACAAGTCAAAAACTATGGTCTTAATGAAGAAGGACACGTATAAAGAGCTTTTAACAAAGTACATAAAAGACACGGAATGCAATATGGCACACCCAAAGGCTTTGGAAAGGTTACAAGCAAGAGTAAAACGTTTCTCTACGACAACGTTAGCTAAGCAACTAGGAATGACGAGGATAATAATTTCATCCCCAGCCATGCCGAGGCTATTCGGATTTGCTAAGATACATAAATCAGAAAAAAGCTTGAGGCCAGTAGTGGATAAATGCTGTGCTCCTACGATATTATTAGAACGAAAGCTTAAGGAATTTATTAATGCGAACATGCCTCCACACGTATATAGCGTAAAGCAGCCAGTAGAGGTGCTCCAAAGGTTGAAACAATTGAAAGTTAACGAAACAAACTACATGACAGTGCTCGATTTTAAGGCTATGTACCCTTCAGTTAAGCTTGAACCATGCTTTTGTCACCTAAGAGATTTTTTATTGGGCAATGTAAAGAACGCAGTAAAGTTAAGAAAGCAAATTCTAGAACTGGCGCATTTGGCTACTTTCTCGTCACTTTTCGCCTTTGACGGTACTGCATACTCGCAGCTTAGAGGAGTACCAATGGGTAGCCCGGTCTCAGGCTTATTGTGCGAGATGGTAATAAGATCTCTGGAAAATAACGTATTGCAGAAATATGAAGATAATATGATAATGTATGCTAGGTACGTCGACGACGTATTTATTATTTGGAATAATAAACCAGACATACGCCAATTTATTGGAGATATTAACAGTAATATTTATGGCCTTGAGTTAGAACTAGAGCAGCAAAATCAAAAAAGAATACATTTCTTAGATATAGAGATCGAAGTCGATGAAGAAGGGGTAATCAATACAAAAGTATATAGAAAGCCGACGTACGTTCCGGATTTGATACCATGGTTCTCGCATGACCCAACAAGCTACAAACTAGCAGCGTTTAGAGCATTAATTAAAAGAGCATACACTCATTGTAGCAGGATTTATGATACACGTAAAGAGCTGGAGTACATCGAAAAGCTAGCAAGAGATGTAGGAATTAAGGAGAATAAAATAAAAGCCTTAATACGAGCAGAAAAAGAAGGCAATAAAAGTAAAGTTAAAAGAGAGAAAAAGGAGTTCACTGTAATGGAATACAGGGCTCAGTTAAGTAACATTTACAGAAAAATAGGAATAGAAAGCAACAAGAAAATAGCATATAAGAGAAACACGACAATATTTCAAATGCTAAGAAACGACAAAACACCCGTTGACAGGAGGCTGATCCCAGGTGTATACAGAATACCGTTGTATGATAGGAGGCTAAATAAGGAGTTATATTATATAGGAGCCACTAAAAGATCATTAAATGAAAGATTGAAGGAGCACAAAAAGAATGTAAGCTTTAAACAACCAGTCACGGCTTTGGCCAATTACGCGATAGCAGATCCAACAGAGATCGACATCAAATGGAGCAAGGCAGATGTCATACAAAAAGTGAAAAATATAAAACATCTAAAATATGCAGAAGCCTGGCACATTTACAAGAGCAAAGAAAAAGGGCGTAATATAAATTTCCGTGAATCGAACAAAATAGCGTCGGCATGGAAAGCGGCAACTTTAAAATTATAAAATTATATTTATGAGCATGCGCAATCGAGAAGAACGTGCAGTTTGGAATCTCCGTTATGCAAATTTGAAATATATTTCGATTGATAATTCGATCCTGATGAAGGTTTGTGAATCAGACCGAAAACGTTCGACAGATGTAAACTAGACTGCATTTTAAAGGTATAGTGAATTTTTGTTAAATAGTAATGCAGTTAGAGATAGAATGAATAGAATGTTTATTGTATTTTTACAAATTTTAAATAATTACTGTATGTCTTTGGTTTTGTGATTTGCGAAGTTTTTAAAAGCTTAACAATTAGATAGCCGCTTTGCCTTATTTGCGTAGTGAATCTGGTAGACATTTTGTATTGTTCATATTGTATATAAGTAATAATAAGATATCTTTTGATATTGTGTACAGACTTTCAGCACAATGCATTTTCAAACATCAGGATAAAAACAAAAATAGTTTTCAATGTTCCTGTTTTGGCAGTATTATTTTTTAAAGAATTGTCTATTTTAATTCTACAAATACTAAATGTGCATTTAGAAGTTGAGATAAAATATAGTGAAACTATATTCAATTTTATTTATTCTCAAAAACTCAGACTTTTGGGTGAATAAACTGTATAGAAAAAATAAGAAATTTGCATTCTTAACAGACAATCTTTATTTATCACTGATCAATTATTACATAATTGAAATGCATTTTGTAAATAAGAAAGTTTCAATATGCTATTAATAAAATACCTTTTCCTGTCTTCCTTTTCAACAGCTTCAAAAGCCCCACGATCCCAAACAGCATCCATTAAACCAGCATATTCTCTGAAATTAATTATTGAAATAATTGTTTATTAGTAAAAAGCTGTTTCCCATTTTAATATAATATACTATAAATATGACCAAAGATGCACTATATATTTAAGTAATTTTTTTAGCATCAATATTATTTTAATTAAAAGAATCTAATAATAATTTGATTAAATTTTTGTAACATTAAATATCTGTGAACAACAAATTAAGTATAATGTAATAATACATTACTGTATACATAAAATGTATTATGTATTATTACATTATACATTTATGTGAAGTCTGCATTAATGCAAAGTAGATTTGTGGTTCTGTGGACAAGAATAGCATTTCAGAGTTAACAAGTTCACTTACTTCAAAATACTGGTTAACATGTAATACAAAATATGTCATGATCCTGCAGATTAAAACTTATATTCATTGTTTAATACAAAGCTCATTGCTTTCAGCTTCCCCAAAGTGACTTGAGCTGAATCATGATCAGCAGTGTGCTTTTTGACTTTAGCACCAAAATGTTTATGATGTCAATATTATCATCATTGGCAATGCAAATATATGCCATACCAACAATCTTCATTCAAGTTTGAAAAATTACATTTTCTGTTATAGTTGTCACTTTGTACACAGACAATGTAGAACAATTGTTCTGCATTGTCAGATTGTACAAAGTTAATACACGTGACACAGCATTCAAATTAGTTAAGACAATTGTGGTATTCATTAGAAATTGAAAGTTAATGGAATTGAGAGATTTTGATTAAAAATCTGTAGTTTTATGAAATAGTTCTCCATTTTTAAAAACAGGCCAAATTATAAACCAGGGTACTTGCCAATATTCATACCAGTGACCTAAATTGATTGTATACATACAAAATAGCAGCATTTAGAGTCCTCACAAAAAGAGCCTTCATACATTGCAAAAATTAACACTTATTGAAGAAATAACAGTAGCACATGGTTACCCTAGAATAATGGTACAAAGATTAGCAGAGGATTATATTAAGAGACTGAATAAGTAGTGCGATTACACTAATTCCAATCTTAACAGGGGTGATAGTAAGGATTTAGTGTACAGACCAACCTACACTAATTGATTATGACTGGGGGTTAAAGGCTTTATATAGAGAATTGCTACTAATACAGGGTGGGAGATAACAGACATAACCCATCTGTTTATTCGTTATTAAGAAACAGCAACGACACCATTAACACATACAACGCACCAGGGTATACAGTATACTGGTGAGAGAGACAACAGATTTCTCAGAGATCTGATGTACATTGGTTCGACCAAAAAGTCTCTTAAAAAATGGCTGCAGAGCATAAATACAACATCATAACAATACATAACAAAAAGCAGACCACCACTCTAGCAATATATGCTTCAGAAATTGGTGTGGAAGCTAAACTACAGCAGCCCAGTCTCATTAGATGCAGCTTTCACACCTATCAGATCAAAATTTTGGAAGCTCTTGAAATTTGTATAGCCGAGCTAAAGGGGCAATGCATCAATTTTAAGGAGGCGGCAAACATCTCAAAAGCTTGGAGGTCCTTTTTTTTTAACGATCCCAACAACATTAATAAGAAATAAAAATAAACTACTTCCGTTAGGATTTGTAACAAATATATTCTCTATATTTTTATGTTAATTTTTATTTTGATGTTATTGATAATTTTAATTTTTTAGTGTTAATGTTAACACATAGATATGATTTTTATACTTGATATTTAATGTTCCAGAAATTTTAAAGTTTAAAATTGCTCTTTTAGCATTCTAATTTTTATCAAATGTTTTAACCTGAAGCAGATCCCAATTAGGATTGAAAGTACTTGTCATAGCATCTTTATATTAAAATATATTTGCTGGTTTAATTTTGAAGGTTTTGTTGGTGTTATTTACATAATCAAGTAGCAAATATAATACACCAAGAGCTCTCACAGAAGCACAAATTATTAAACATCCAGGTACCATACTACAAATATACCCCACAGGGAATATTAGAAAATAACACACAAAATATACAACAACACAGCCATAATCACAGATAGAACAATTCATCACAATAGACCTGATGTTACCTCATTGACAAATGCAGTATGATCACTTATGTAATAGACATTTCATTTCATTCCATTCCATTCCAAACACTTATAAAAAAATGCTCACTCTGAAAAAATCAACAATTACACTCCACTCACTCAAAGATATATATGGAGGATGGATAAGATATTTATGGTACCTGTTGTCCTCTCTTCTACTGGTGTTATACCAAATACACTATATAAAAATTTCGAAACATTAAACCTTAATAAAAACATATACATGACACTACAGAAAGCTGCAATATTGAACATGTCACATTGTTAGGAAGTTTCTAGATGTTCACATATATACCCTCATAAAGCAACTCTGCCCAATGGCACTACAGGGTTAAAGAGACTATGCCTTAATCATAAAGCTGGTTGGATACCTGACAAGGTAGACAGGGATGACATAGCTAAACCATCGAATACTTCTTTTGGGCTCCCATCCGTTCTCCAGCCCAGCCCTCTAACCTGGCATAACTTTTATATATTGTGCAGTCTGTTCTGCAGTATGTCTACAAAACTCTAGCTCATTATTACTTTAACTTATAATATTGATGGGCAACGGGGTCCCCTTCCCTACAAGTAAGGGAGACCCATTTTTGTGCGTCCACACATATACCAATAACACAGCTTAATATTACACTTGTTTGATTAGCTATGCTTTAACTTTAGTCTGGTATAGCACTAAGCACCAGTATCAGCTGAGTATGACATTCACAACATAATAATTATAAGTCATTATTATTTTCCAAACTTGTCAAGCTGTTAATTAACTGGCTGTATCTTTCTGAATACAAATCATTTATTTAATATAAAAATAACCATACTTGTTATTACAGCATAAACATTGACTAAAACAATCCCCCATTAAAAACTGAAAATCTCAAATATATTTAAACTAATAAAAAAAATTTTAATGTAATTGATGTATTATCCAATCACCAGTAAACCTTTTGCTTTTTACAATTTACTTATGTTGCAGCCTCAAATAAATGGTCAAACCTCAGTATGTTTTAAATGAGTTCTTGGTGTGAACAGTGCCTTAATTATTAACTAGGGTGATGCCAGTGGTGCCCAAGCATAGGGTGCAGACCCTGGGGGGCACAGAAATGACCTGGACCAAGTTTTGGATCATAGTTTTGGGTGTAGTTACAGAAGCTCGCACCAGGCACATAAAAGACTAGTTACAGCGCTGGGTGTGAAAAAGCCTTTTTGTAGAATTTTTGTAGATTATGTAGAAGCCTTTTTGGATAATCTACATTTCTGATTAAATATTTAAACCCATTCAAACCTGAGATCTAGTGAAGAAGTAATGTAAACTTAAACTGTTATCAGATCAAATTACCTAAAAGCTATTGTCTGTTGATAACTTCATTGATTGAATATTTAAAATTAATTTATAATCTGTTTAATGATTTAAATAATACATGACTACAAATAATCAACAGTAAACTAATAATTAGATAATAGTAAGCATAATACTTTTGCTAAAGCTGACTGTAATATTAAAATAATAATATTATTATATTTATTATTAAAAATATTTAAAATTTTAATATCCAAAATTTACATAAAACTATTAAAAATTTTAAATAAATAAAAAATACTAACTTGTTAAATAAAAAGATATCACAACAAAATATTTTGATATTGTCATCAGAAGTCTGAAAAACAATACATATTAAATTTCTTTTATAACATAAAATTTTTAATGGAAAAAAACAAGGTAATTTATTAATTATTGTTTGTAACTATATAAATCAAATGTTATTATGTTATATATAATTATATACATGCACATAATGCCTACCTCTAGTAGCAAATTATTCAGAATTTAATTATAAATAGTAGTAGTAAAGTAGCCCAATTCAATACAGTAATCATTTGGTTTATGAGATGTTTGCTTAAGCAAAGGTGGCAGTGGTTTTCTGAGTAAGTATCATTTAATCAAATCAAATTAATTAGTTTTCAAAAAGTATCAAACCTTAAACAATTTTCCTTTCACACTTTCAACATTTTCAACTTCATATTGTAAGCCTTGTTCTTCATAAAAGTCCTTTATTGCTTTTTCACAATATTCAACTCCAACAATTTTGTGGCCTTTATCATACAACCTACATGTATCATTTAAGTTTATAAATAATAAAAATTTTTATCATTGAATTTAAAAAGAAAATCAATGCAATTTTATTGTCAGATTATCTTTACAATTTAAAAATATGATAATATAGTCTAAATCCCAATAAATCAGAGAGAGAGAGAGAGAGAGAGAAANATAGAAATAGTAAAAAGTAATTCTGGAATTCAAAATTATGCAAATCACTAAATAAATCAGAGAGAGAGAGAGAGAGAGAGAAAGGGAAAAAAACAACATTTATGCAAATATTTGTTACAATAAATGGTAATTGTGCACCCAAAGGGAACCAAGGAGCTCTGACACTCTCCAAAGTATAGTAAAATGAAAACAAATACTAGAAAATTTTCCAAAAATCTTCTCTTAATTAAAATACATTCAATTCTGCTCCCAAGATTGAATCCCAAATGTGCCACTGCAAAATGCTATTTACTTTTATTAAGTCATAAATCTTATTTCTGTCAATTTTAATTACTATATTGAAATTAATCAAAAATCACTTTCATTGAATGAATTGTTAATTAATAATTCCATAATTAAGCTTTTTATACATATTTATATAATTGTGACAATGCCGAAGGGCCTCCCTAGTCTTCGGCACCACGTGACCGAAGGGTCGACATCGCGTCGGTGAAGATCGCAATGACAAGTTTCGTCAGGACTGACACCACTGGGTCTTCACGGCTAGACACAGAAACCGTTTCGTTCGGGCGTGTGAGCGGTCACGTGTGTGAGCGANAAAATTTGTAACATTAACTTAGTTATAAAAGTTTATACCATTTCATATCAATAGATTTTCCACACATAGGGAAGAATATTTGTATTGACGACCTTCCATTTATCAGTTTATCATAATAGTTCAATAAAAACCTGAAACAAGAATTATGAATAGTAGCAAGCACCACAATATAATAAATAAAGATAACAAAACAAATATTAAAAACAAATTACCGATTATTTATTGTTCTATGCCAAGGAATTTTATTTGCTTCCCATTTTTCAACCCATTTTTCGAGAACAGCTGCATTCGTTGCCATTTGTAACTAAAATAAACAATGGGCGTATTCACCTGACGGCCGGGGATATCGGGAAAGAAAAACAAGAAAAATGATGAATGATATGGAATTCCACGTTACGTTAAATTTACTTTTCAACTTATTAGTAGTAGTGGTATAAGCTATACTAATCACAATGCTTAATTAAATTAATTTTATGTTATCGTAATTTTTTGAAAATATATTTACAATAATTTTAACACGAAAAACAACGGAAAAAGGAAAAAAAACGCGAAAAAGGGAAAAAACAAACGAGAGATCGAAAAAATCACTCTAAACGAATTATTAAAAAAAAGAAAGAAAAAAAAAAAACGCATATTTACTCACCGTCGTCGTCGTCGTAGGTCATTCGGCTACTCTAGCGCGCTTCTTTCCGCCGTCGCGACGCTCTCTTCCTTTCTTTTTCGTATTTACGCTTGTTTGCGACCGTCTCGTCTATTTCCGCGGTCGCCAATTTTCGAACTCGTAATCAAATTAAAAAGAGAGAAACCATCATCGTGTGCCTAACGAAATTAGCCCAGTCGACACAGGTGGTGGCGGTGGGTGCAACTTACCGTAACGGCCAGACGCGAAGACTTCGACGAATCGTTTATGCAAATGAGGTGCCAGACGAAAGCGAATATCGTTCCCCACGATACCTTGCCAAATTTTCCTTTGAACTAACATATCGATACTTTTAACTCCGGATACAGTAGAGAGCTTGAGGCACACGTATTTAGCCCAAAACGTGTACGGCTAACGAGTGAGCGCCGCCATCTGGCAGTTCTGGACCGTCGATAATGGCGTTTGCTACGTGTAGCTTGGTGAGAACACGATCGGCTTAAACGTCTTCATTTTTTTCGTGTTTGGGGTTAAAATTATGATTTATTTTATTAAAATAACGATTATTTAAGCATTTATAAATAACATTGTAAAGAAACAGACGATTTTAATCCAAAAATTATTTATTTATTTAATATTTTTAATGTAATGTGAAGTGAAGTTGTTCTTCCCCGGCATCTTCTACCGTCGACGGTGTAAAACGTCCGTAAATTTTCCGATATACTTTTCCAAGCATCTTTCGGATTTTCATATGCATAGGGATTTATAGCCACTACTTCTCTTAACAGAAGTATGTCGTGAAAACAAGAAAACCGCATTTGAACTTTCCTACTGTTTCTCGGAGTTAACACGACGCTAATTATAGTAAAAAAATAATTATTTAGTGTTATTAAACATCATATAAATACTTTTAAACAGTTTAATTTGTTTATTTACCTTTCCTGGCTCCTCCCCATTCCTATTTTCAGCGTCTTTATTCGATGCTTACGATACTCTGAAAGAGTATTTGAATCTATTCTTTTTAGTTTTAAAATATTTCGTACGTAATTAATTCTTTCAGAATATTGAAGGCGAAACAATGTTTTTGTAAGGTTGGTTAAAGTCAACGGTGTCCATTATTTAGAGTGTCCACTATTTAGAGGAATAGATGTCCTATTTGAAAGGTCTGGGGATTGTAAAAATGTCCATTAATTAAGTACAGATGTTCATTAATGGAAGTTTCACTGTACGGTATTTTCTAACATAACAAATTTATAATGTTAACCGTTTATCATGATAATTATATTTTCCAGGTTCTTGTATTTTAATTTATTCCTTTTCTGGCTGTTAAAGTGACAAAAGGAAACATAATTTTGCCCCTTTTTGACGTGTAATTTAAAAAGGGAGACAGCAGAATCGTGTGCGTGTGCATGTTTTGGCCTGTATTTTGATTTTTATTGCGGGATCCTAGAGATTTGGCGCAAATTACTTCTATACATGAGGTATTGATGCTATTGTTTTGATATTATATGTCAAAGGGAAGGAAAGATAGAGAAGTAGGGAATTATACGCGAATGGTGGCAGACTTAATTTTACTCATTAGTAGCAGTGGCATGTCGTCATTAGAAGCAGTGGAAGTGCCGCTTCCCTTGTATTTTATAAAAAATAAATACATATTAATTTTAATTATATGAAAATAATCGCACAATATTTTATTATAACTGCATTATGTATCTTATTACAAATTTCTATACTACACGTGAAAAAAAAAAAAATAATAAGATTGCTATTGTATATTCGAATATTAGTGGCAGAGTGGAATCTCTGTATTGTCAGATTCCAAAAAGCCAGATTTGCACATGCACTTTACAGAGCACCAACCTCGCTTGGTTTAGCCGGTAGAAGCCTACAATCTTAGGTTGATGCTACACATATAATGCTTCCAATTCCATCCGGGACCAGTTCTGGGCTGTTAGCCGCCTGCCCACTAGATATTTCGATTACGTGAATAATGAATAGATTTATAACTTAACCCAATCGATAAGAATTTACTGGTATGTTTTTACAATAGTTCTGTATAGTTGACAGGAGTTAAAAAAATCCATTAAAATATTTGATATATTTATTCCGCTTTCCGATTTTATATTACTCGCGGATTTCAATGTTAAACCAGTGCTATTACGATTTCGTATATCCCATCTCTAAGGGGATGTAGAAAAATCGAGTACAATTCTTGTATAATGTTAAAAAATTAACTGTTATTTCTACAGCATCATTTACAACTAAATTTAATGAATGAGAGTGATGCACGAGATACAGAAAAAGCTCTAGAATTTATTTTCCTTAAATTTACAATTTATGTATCTGTTTGTCATAAAAATTTGTCTTTCCATTTTTTTCCCAAGACTACAAATATTCTAGTACAAAGTAACTGGTTTCGACTTGATTCTACTTAAGTGGTTAAATAATTAAGCGATTAGAGAATTGGGGACATAAACAAAACCCTGATGAAAGAGCCAAAATTTTACTTAAACAAAAGCTTAACCGAACCATCTTTAGCCAAGTACAGTATTCTAGTACTTGGCTAAAGATAATAATATGAAGAAATCAGTGGAGACTGATTTCTTCATATTATTAATGTAATAAAGACAGAAATTTTTCCACTTCAACGAGATTGACCGAAAAGTTGTAAATTTTGGAAATTTCTGAGGACACTTGGTCCTAAAACGAATTAGTTAGAAAACAAATGACTATTAAGTTTAACATATTTTGATTTTTACAGCTATGGTGAGAAACGTTTAAAATCTACAACAGCCCTGTTGCGTCCTTTGAGATATACTAGTGATGCAACAAAAGAGGTATTTGACATTGACCGGTATCGCCACCCTGGGGATTTGTCAGTCCGCCTGTATCCACGCTCTGCAACCGTCTTCGATTCCATCCATTNATTTTGCAAGCAAACCCCATTTATATTCAGTATTTCAACAACCATAGTAATTGTTATATAACACCTACCGCCGAGAATGATGAGAATTGCTGAGAATCAAACGAACTATTTTCAATTTGATCAATTTTCTGGAACGTTTACAATCGTTCTATAATCGAACCAATATGCAATAACAAATTCGAATTTAAAAAGATTCGAACATTTGGTTAAAAAATCGAAATATATAAAAATATTGAACAGAAAACGTACTCGGTAAATTAATAATAAAAAAAATCAACACCTTATCCGTGTCCGAGGGAGTTTATTTAAAAACGAACGTTTTCGATCTACTTCATAGATCACCATCAAGTTGAAAGAAACGAATATGGAATAACCACAAAGAATAGAACATTAAATTTAAAATTCAAAAATATCAACGACTGAGTAACTAAGTAAAATAATTAAAGTGTAAAAATACCAATTGTAAAAATAAATAACATACAACAACAATAAATAATAGTACAAGTCGTTAACATTTAACAAAAATTATAAATGCTCTCATAACGTGAATTGCGAATCAAGTCGTCATTCATAAGCCATTTGTAAGTCTTTTAATAGCAAACTTCCATGCTGAGGGAAGGCCCTCCACATCTTACAAATGGCTTATGAATGACGACTTGATTCGTAATTCACGTTATGAGAGCATTTATAATTTTTGTTAACTGTTAACGACTTGTACTATTACTTATTTATTGTTGTATATTATTTATTTGTATATTATTTATTTTTACAATTGGTATTTTTACACTTTAATTATTTTATTTAGTTACTCAGTCGTTGCAGAGTCGGTAGATTAACTGGTCTTTCGACTTCCTATCTTCGCTCGTTGCTAGAATCAACTAGAGACAAATGTTACCACCAGGGGCACTGCAATCACTACAAGACCGCTAGATCGAATCCCTGTGAGGTCGAATGTTTTCTTTTTATTGAAAGATATATAACCTTCGAGTTCGATTTCATAATTTTTTATATGCATTTTATTATAAGAATGAAAAAGCTTTTATTTAAACCCAAAACCAGGTTTATGGATAAATAAATGACACTTAATAAAACATTAAACACCTTCTATCGCTGAGAAATGTTTATTTAATAAAACACTAACATTTTCAGCCTCATGGAAT